GGCAGAGACCAGACCAGTCACCCTGCACAAGGAGAAGCAACAGCAGTGGCCGGTCTTTATTACAGGAAGCTCCAAGTTTCACTCTGGATCACTGCACAGATCTAGAAGAAATACACAAAGCTCACCGAGATTCAAGTAACTCCAGGGTTCAGCTTTAAGTTCAGAAAATGGTGTGTATAAGTACACTTATTGATTAACTCCCTTTCCCTGTTATTCCCCCCCTTCCAAATCCCACACTTACCTGCCCTCTCTTAGTATATATCCTCACCATGAGCCCCACTGGGAGCCCCACATGCATGCACAATTCATTTTATATTGTGGAGAATGTCACAGGAGGAGGTGGAACACACAGAATGGACAGAATTGGAGCCGAGAATTATGACAGGGAGTTATAACTGTTGGGAGTATCCAAGATCTAGAAGAAACAAGGGGCTGATTCCACCAGGCTCCACCTTTCACTAAAATACAACACTAAGGGGGTTATTCACAAAAGGGTGAAGAGTTTGGAGCAGGCAGGAGAAGAATCTAGGACAACATAGCGGAACTGGAAAGTGAGCTGAATTGGAGAATGTTTCCAATTCAGCTATGTTGTCCTAGATTGTTCTCTTTCCTGCCTTCTCCAAACTCTTCACCCTTTTGGGAATAACCCCCTAAAAGATTGAATGAAATTTGCTTTGACTTGTACTAATGCGCCAAATGTATTCCTCCTTAACAGTTTAACATTTGGGCTTTGGCTCTGTTGTTCCAAACCATGATCCCCATGAGAGATTTGCTGCTTGCATTCATCACCAGCATCGATAAAGAGCTGCATGACAACGAGCAACAAGTCTTAAACACGTAAGAGCAACAAAAAAAAGAAGATAAAAGCTGTTTGGTAAACTTGGTGTTTGTCCTGAAATCATGTCCTGTTTGCTCTCCGGGGATCTACAGAGTTTACAAAGTGCTGTGCTTTGTGCTGTTTCTAGATTGGACGCTCGTGGTGCCAGCTACGTGTCAAATCTCATATCTGTATTTTTGCCGCATGGATTGGAGCCTGTTCGGTTATTCGGCCTACATATGATCGATATACTCCTAAAGAATACAGCAAAGTAAGTAGGAATGCACCGATATTTGTATCAGTATTGATGCTGATACCAAGTATTTGGGCGAGAGCGAGTCCAAATGCTCCAATACCTTCCCTGATACCAGAACTTCCGGTCAGAGGAAAATCTCCTCTGACCGGCAGTGCCATAGGGGAACATAAAGCTTGTTTCCTGGGCAATCAGGAAGCTGGGTGGCGAGTAATGACCCGCCTCCCGGCTTCCTGATTGGCTGGGAAGCCGGTTTCCCAGCCAATCGCAATTGAGCCGGCCAAACAACATGGAGCTGGCTTCCCGGGCAATCAGGAAGCCAGGCAGCATGTCATTACATGATTGCCCGGGAAGCCGGCTCCATGCCAACGGAAGCACCAGTATCGGTACTCGGTATCAGCGAGTACCAAAAGCAAAATATCGGTACTCGATACTGAAAAACCGGTATCGGTGCATCCCTAAAAGTAAGTGTTATTTGTCTTTGGCATTTCTCACTTTCTGTCTGCTTTTTGGCTCACCACTGCTAAAAGTATTATTATTGCTGTCCATGGTTTAGATCTTATCCTTACTTTGTGTCCCAGGTAATGCAAAATCTTCCCAGTGGGGTTCCAGCCAGCAATAGAAACCTGAAAGGTACGTTGTCCGCACACCAATCTGCTTCAGAATGTCATCTTCATTAACATTCTTGCAGCAGGATATGTCAGTGCAACGTTTCAAGACTGCACAGGGTCCCTTCGTCTATTAGGATTCTTTGCCTGACAAATGGACCCTGTGCAGTCTTGTAATGTTGCACTGACTTATATCATGCTGCAAGAACGTTAATAAAGACATTCTGATGCAGATTGGTGTGCGGACAACGTATCGTTCACTGGATGTTGTGAAGCCTTCCACCGGTTGTTCTAGGACCAAAGGAATTGAACGAAAGGGAGTTATTAGTACGGAGCGCGGTGGAAAGATTTCTATTATAGCAGTAGAAACCAGACACAGGTTCTGACCCTTCCCCATTGTATCCAGAACTAAGAACGTATTGCCGGGAGTTGTTCTTATAGACCCCGTTCACACTGAGCGGTTTGTCACGCGATTTCCGCTCCAAAATAGTGTATATTTCCGCGCAATGTCGCTCAATGTAGCTGGTAGTCCAATGCATCAATGGAGCTGTTGACATCTCACAGCTCAAATGTCGCCTGTAGCTCGTCGCTCGAACATGACCTATTTCTCCACGGATGTCGCGCGATTAGGCCCCAATAGACTCAATGGTGTCGCTCAATGTCGCGCATTACCGGCGATATTGCAGGACCTTGTCGCTACAAAAGTGTCACTTTTGCATAGCAATATGGAAGGAATGATGTCACATCAAGACTGCTGTTGATTGGTAATGTAGCAGCGACGAAGTCCCTCCCAAAAGTCGCGCTGCGTAGCACGACAAAATGCGCATTGTTGCACAATGTAGCTCAATGCCGCTCAGCTCGAAATCGCGCGGAAAAACGCGAGATTGTCCATGTCGCTCAGTGTGAATGGGTCTAATACTTTTAGGATCTATATACTGTGGGCTTGCTGTAGCATATGTTATTGACTTAGAAGATTCACACCTATTAGGGCTTACTAATATTCCAGACCGATCCTTTCCTCCACAGCTATACCTGGATTTCAAATGTTGGCAACAACTTAAAGAACATAGTAAGTGGACATCTTTGTTTCTTTTTTTTTTTATTCTTTATTTAAAAATTGAGCTTTCAAGTATATATGTGTTTGTGGATACCTGACCATCACTCTTATGTACGTGATTAGCACCCCTCCAAAGTCAGATTTTTCCACTGAAGGTTCTGTGAATGCTCCAACATTTTAGACAATTGCGCCCTTCCAACGTTGTGGTAACAGTTTGGTGAAGGTCCTATTCTGTTCCATCATGACTGTCCCCTGTGTAAAATGCCAGCTCCATACAGACATGGCTTGATGTGTTTGGTGTGGAGGAACTTGAGTGTCCTCCACAGAGCCCTGGCCTCAGTCCTACTTGAACACCTTTGCAGTGAATTAGAACACTGATTGCAATACAGGCCTTCTCATCCAACATCAATACCTGACCTCACAAGTGTTCTTTAGGCTGAATGGACACACATTTCCCATAGGCAGGCTACAAAATCTTGTGGAAAGCCTTCCTAGAAGAGTGGAGTCTGATATAGCTTTTTAGGTGGAGGCTGCAGCAATGCCATATTTAATGCCCATGGTTTGGAATTGGATGTCAAACAAGTTCATTTAAAGACGAACTTTACCCTTATCTTCAAAATAACACATACAAAGACACCTTTAGAAACTGTTAAGTAATGACAAAATACAAACAGATCTGGCAACACACACTTCTAGATAATTGCCGGCTTTGTGTTCTTTGCAGACCTTATTTTTCTTTTCTGACTCAGTCTTCTGACAGCGGCCATTTTTACTAAGGGCAGGTTTCTAGATCTCTCTACTTCCTGGAACTCTGGCACATGTGACCATGCTGGGACACATTACATCATTTGTGCCAAAGTGGACCAGGAAGTAGAAACAATTAATTGTAAGTAAAATAAAAATATGTTTGTTTAACCTGATGAATGTGAGATGATTTCATATGAGATATGCGGAGCTGTATGCTGATGTGGGTTTTAGTCAAATGGGGGTAAAGGTCAGCTTTAAGTGTAGTGGTGTCTACAGACTTTGGTTATATACATCAGAACGGTTTTACAGGGTACAGTTCAGCCACATAGATTGTCATTACTGTGATATAGAGTCAAATAAACCGTTTCCAGATGTATTACCTTCTTTGGCTACAATGACACAGATTCCAGTAGTTAAATAAAAATCTGCAGGTGGAATCCTTACTGAATATTTATATAACCTCAAAGTCCAAATCCCATTCGCACTGCCACGGTCTCAAAACCACAAGGTATATGTGGTGCCCAGGCGACCACACGGATGGCGCCGTGCAAAACACTAATAGTAAATAAAAGTATTTCACCGGCATTGATATGTTTATTCAACACCCAATGTCACATATGTGGCATTGGGTATTGAATAAACATATCAATACTTTAAAAACCCTTCAAGTGTGTGCCGGTGAATTACTTTTATTTATTATTTATATAACGTGACAATTTCCTAAAGCAAACCTAATTGATATTGGTGAACATATTCAAGTGCTTTCTAAGCTTATAGCTGAGCTCTGGGCAGAAGAACTTTCATTCAAATATATTTCTCAATAGCCACAAAGGATAGAAATCCACTTTGCGTGCACCATAGTCTGTAAAGTGAGCCGAGTTGTGGGCGGGACTAGGCAGGCCCTGCCCACTACAGGCTGCCTGTGTGCTAGCAAAGATTGTGACTGGGTTGGAATGTGTGACCGGTCACGTGGTCACACATTTTAACGTACTCACGCCCACTTTTTGTGATCCGCAAAAGGGGAAGAATTCCAAGGCTGTTCCTGAGCAGATCGGTCCTGAAATGTTACGTATATCCGACTTTGTGAGTGCGATCTCACATTCCAAAGTCACATACAAATCTGCGATGCCGATCTGCCCTGGAACAGCTGGAAGTCTTCACATATTCCACCACCGAAAAATGGGCGTGAGTACGTAAAAAATGTGTGACTGGTCACACATTCCACCGCCGAAAAACTGGGCGGGATTAGGTTAAAATGTGTGACCTCGTCACCTGGAATTTTGTCCTAAACACAATTCCGAGAAGGGGGAGAGGTGAGGGAGATGCTGTACTTGGTTCTTGCAGTGATGGAGGTTTTACAATGTTTGGAAATGTCATATGAAACACCGTCTCTATCTCTGTGGACTTCCATTCCATGCCTTTTGCCTGTTACTATGGCAACACTGGCAGGTTAGCCTGTGGAAGGGTAAGGGTCATGTCCCCCACTAGTGATCCAGTCACTTAAAGGATCGCTACTGAGACTGCTCCCCTATGCCTGTGACGTTACTTCCTTCCTGGCTGAAATGCCGCAGAGTCTCGCTCGCCTGCAACTGAGCAACACTTTGCGAGTTTGGCTAGTGAGTTGGAGACGCCATACTGAGTTGTCTCGCTACTCCGCAATCCTGCCACTGGCGGGTTGTTGTGGTTGGGGCCTTTGCAGAGACTCTGTATGGGCAATGTGACCGTGTCTCTTTAAAAGACAGCTCCAGCCAAGCGATAAAATAATACACAGCTGAGACACATGTTGGGATTGTTCACACCAGGCGTGGGGACAAATGAAGAAATTTCCCGTAGGGATCGGTTGCAATGAACACTTGGCAGTACACATAGATGTATTAAGGTGTGAAGGAGCCCATATGGGAACTTGTGTCTTTGCCAAAAGCTTTGAAAAGTAATGCACATAGCCTTGTGATTTACCCTTCCCTACTGTACTCTATGGTTGTTCAGCGTAAGAAAGGAGACCGATTTTCTGCAAACTCTATGAAGCGTCCTTCTACGCGCTCTTCCGGAGTACTAGTAAATATTCACACAAAGTGCAGCGTTCCATTATAACCTGAAATATAGTGCTCAGTGCAAATCATAATGTCATCTGCAGTTATGTGTGTGTATGTATGCATGTGTGTGTATATATATATATATATATATATATATATATATACGTATGTATGTACACACACATAACGTACGTACGTACGTACACATACACTAGGGATGCAGAGATACCGAGCATTTGGGCGAATACTCTTACTCGGCCAAATGCTCCGATGCCTAGTCCGATACACGAGTTTCCCGTATCAGGAAGCTGGGCAGCGAGTCATTACATGCTGCCCGGCTTCCTGATTGGCCTAACTGGTTACCCAAACTTCTGATTTCAGGAAGCCAGGCGGCGAGTCATTACCCGCCCCCCGGCTTCCTGATTAACCAGAAAGCCGGCTCCATGCTTCCTTGTCACCTGGTGACGAGGGAGCATGGAGACAGCTCCCCCACTAATCGGGAGGCGAGTCTTTACACTCCACCTGGCTTCCTTAAAAGGACGTCCGGTATTGGCGAGTATCGGAAACAAAAAAAATCGATACTCGATACCGAAAAACCGGTATGGGTGCATCCCTAATATATACACAAATAATATATAAAAAGCCAGTGACATCATATAATCCAATAATTACCCTTTGTGTCCCGTGTGATGAGTGTGGTCCATCTCGCTGTTTTCCTCACACCGTAAGATTCTAGTGTCTTTCATAAAAGTTGCAGTTGTGTGCCCAGTATGTGTGCTCGGTATGTGTGCCCGGTATGCCCCTTTACTGGGCAGCACACCTTGGACTGCTGCGGCAGAACACTTCGATGTTTCCCAGCGCGCTCACAGAAGAAGCATCTATACAACTGTCATAGTGCTTTCCATCCCAAACGTCACATTCATTACTGTCACATTTCGTTGTGCATATGCAATAGTCCTAGTTGGTAATAGGCTCATGTTTATACAGCTCCTCTGAAATCCTCCCTGTCATTTCCTACATGGCGATGTCACTTGGCTCTGCCCCGTGTCTCATGTCCCAATGACTTCATCAGGGGCATCCTTGTCACTTCTTGTGAGTTGAAAGTATAAAAAACAATTGGCATTTTTTTCTTTAACTCACTATTGCCATCAGTCCACCAACAAAGGCAGACATGCTTGAAGTCCAGCTTGTGTGCCAACCATAGCGGCCTCCATAGATACAGTAGAGACGCGAGGGTAGCCACAAAGAGCAGTTTGCAGTATCATCAGGTGAAAATAAAGTAACAAAGTCTGACAAAAGAAAAGTAAAGCAGCCGCCACAGCTTAGGACTGGTAAGCTGCATAATGACCTGTTAGCTTTTGTGTTCGGATACAATTGTACATCCTCACCACCGGATTGTACATATCGTTTCGTCTCTTTCAGGTATGCAACGTCGAACCGCAATCGTTCATCTTCAACAACATGCAAAAGCAACAACTGCTGAGCAAACTAGAAGGATTGACTGCAGAAAAGTAACCCCCCGCCCCTCCCCCAGCGAGGGGCGTACAGAGACTGCTACCTTCCAGGACACCAAACAGAAATTTGCACGCCGCTTTTGTGCCTTATCAGTCCATTCCTCTAGGAGTGTTCGGCCCCGTGGCTCAAGTCCTCTCATTGGCCGTACCTTTTCGGTCTGATTTTTTTTTTTGTACGTTTCCAGAGTATCATCAGAGAATCGTATGAAGGATATATCACCAGTCACCTTCAAGTGCTCTCCATCACAAAGCTCTGTGTTCCTGTTTCTCTGTCCTTGTGCTTCTTGTGTCTCACACTTCATCAGTGACCGTTCCTTGCAGTGGTTTTGCTTCACCTCCCTCAAGGCTGAATGAAGGGATCTCTCTTACAGATGGACTCAACAATTTTGAAGTGAAGTATGACACAACTTGGCTTTCTCTGATGGCTGAACAGGAAATTCTAGTGGAGATCTCCTCCATGATGTAGACCCTGAGACACAAGTGTTGGCATCCATGTTCAAATGGAAGCATTGATTTGCATGTTGGTGGCCATAACGTGACACTAAACTCCGGCGCTAAATCTTAAAAATACATTCAAGTATCTTATCTATTACTAGAAATGTATCTTATTTGTGTATCACTCAGCTGTAGATCCTCCAGTCATCTCTGAATTGGTGCTGACACTGTCCTTCCTTCTGGAGGGGGGCTACATGTGTTCCCCATGGTCCGTGTGTGTTGTAAAGTAGTCACTGCTCCAAGCTCCCTCCTGTGAAGGACTACAACCCCAATACAAATTGGTAGTGATATACCGATACTAGTATTGGTGCCGATGCTGAGTATTTGGGAGAGTACTCATACACGTCCAAATGCTCCGGTGCCTAGCCCGATACTTCTGGTATCAGAAAGCCGGGCAGCGTGTCATTACATGCTGCCCGGTTTCCTGATTGGCCGGGAAGTAGGTTCCATGCTCTCTCGTCACTTGTGACAAGAGAGCATGGAGCCGGCTTCCCTGCCAATCAGGAAGGTGGGCAGTGTGTAATACCTCGCTGTCTGGCTTCCTGATTGGTCGGGAAGCTGGCCTATCAGGAAGCCGGAGGCCGTGTAATGACGCGGCATCCGGCTTTATAATTGGCCGGGAAGCTGGCTCCATACTCCCTGGTCACCTCATGACGAGGGAGCATGGAGCCGGCTCTCCGGCCAAGCAGGAAGCCGGGCGCTGCGTCATTACACTGCGCTCTGCTTCCTGATTGGCCAGTAAGCCGGTTCCATGCTTTCTCATCACCTAGTGATAAGAAGCATGGGGGGCGGTTGCCTGGCTAATCAGAAAGCCGGATGGTGAGTCATTACATGCCGTCCAGCTTCCTGAATGGGACTTCTGGTATTCGTATCAGCGAGTACCGAAAAAAATATCGCTACTCATACTCGATACCCAAATACCTGTATTGGTGCATCGCTACAAATCGCTACACTAAATGTGAGATTGTAGTCTATCCCGGGAGGGAGCTTGGAGCAGTGACTACTTTACAACACACACAGGAACCATGGGGAACACAAGTAGCCACCCTCCAGAAGGAAGGACGGTGTCAGCACCAATTCAGAGATGATTGGAGGATCTACAGCCGAGTGATACACAAATAAGATACATTTTTGTTTATAGTTCAGGTACCTGAATGTATTTTTAAGTTTCAACTCCTGAGTTTAGTGTCACTTTAAGTGTATGTCTGGACAAGCAAGCTGTGAATGTTCCTGTGTTGTATTGTGTGCCTCTGGCCACCAGGGGATATCCTTACCTCCAATGAGGAAGCCGCCTTGATCTCGCAAGAGATGTTCATCATCACACAGCACCTGATATCTAATCAGAGGGAGGAAATACAGAGAAATAATATCATTCTATGTTATGTGACGGTTTCATTAAATGCTGAACATGTGTTGTTAGCACTGAGCTCAGGCAGCAGGTAAGTCGGCGGCTGCAGGGGGCGTCCATGTGACATTCAGAGCAGTCATTTTGCCTATGGAAGGGAAAGGGAGTGTAAGATAAATAACGGGTCAAATATCCATCCTGACCACGTAAGACGATGCTGCTCAACCATTCCAAGGCAGAGATTCAGATAAGTACAATTGCTCATTCATCACTGGTTCTCATTAATTTACAGACATGTCATCTGATAAATCGGCGGCATTAATTTGTCTAAGTGCCTCGCTGGCAAATGTTTCAACCTGGAATCTGGCACTGGTTTACGTGGAGCAGGTGGCTTTGGAATTATGCTGTTATCCTTTCACAGCATCCCATGATGCCTCCTAGTCCTCCATCACTGCGCTCTTACAGGCTGATTGCAAAGGATATTTATTCTGCTTTATCCTCGCAATAAAACCGCTTTATTGTGAGTGAACGGCAAGAATAGAGGCGCGTGCTGCTCTTATATAACGAGTTCTTTCCAGATCCTCTGTCTGCGCTCTGATTATTTTTAATAACTGAATCAGTTGCTGTGTTTTGGTGGTAAAGTGTACCTGTACACAGCGGGGGGCATCTGTTCTGTGAATGGCATCATTGTGCCTCTTGCTTACAAGTTCTAGGTCAATCGTTCGCTTTGTGTTGGTGGTAAAGGGGACCATCCACTGTTCTATGAATGGCTTCATTGGTCACCTTGTGCCTCCTGCTTAAAAGTTTTAAGTGAATGGTTTCCCCGAATTTTGCATAATGTGAATGTGTGACAGGTTCTCTTGTGCTAACCTTTGGAATCAGCGATAGGAAGCGGTATGTTTCAGAAAAGATTTCTTGACCAGTCTTTGCTGATGCTAAAAAGATCGGAGCTAGCGACGTCCTGGAACAACGATGGCTCCGAGATAGAGGCGGCACACCACAAGCCAATCATTCACATACAATTGTGTTCCAATGTAAGTTCAGATAATGATCAAATGAAGGCGTGATCGCGTTTCATGAGGCCCAACATCACCCCCTTCACCAGGGCTTGTAGGTGGTGACTGTGTACATGGACTAAGCTGGTTTGTAGGGTACAGAGCTCACCAGCAACTGGTTTGGCATCCTATACCACCTTCTAGGACAGGGGTAGCCAAACTCCGGCCCTCCAGCTGTGGTGGAACTACAAATCCCATGAGGCATTGCAAGAGTCTCACAGACATGACTCCTGGAGAGAGATGCATCATGGGATTTGTAGTTTCACCACAGCTGGAGGGCCGGAGTTTGGCTACCCCGTTCTCGGGGATAGGAGAAGGTAGAGCTGGAGGAATAGTGTTTCCATATTATGCAGTGCTACTTGACTGACTGGCTGGCATACTGATCCTCTGGCTTGCGTAAATGTCCCAGGACAAGTATGCAGAGAAGTTCTTCTGACTTCCTTCCTTCCTGAGTCTGCGACCCCAATGCACGATATAATGGTAACGCACTGTATGTCTTGCTGTGCGTTACCATTTATTAATTGCACACAGAAGCACATATACAATGCAGTGCACTGCGTTCTGAAAAGTAGAGCAGGACCTATTTTTCATGCATTGAAGCGCATTCACAGCCCATTCCTAATGTCATTGGCTGCATAGCGCAACTCAACGCTCAAAAACCTATTGTGGTGTGAATGGCCCTTACTTCACCAGGCCAGTATTTCAGTATAGATTGGAAACCGCCTTTAATAACCATATGCATGATCCTCCCTGGTCATTGGTGAGGCGCCCATGTGTACATATTCTTACATCAGCTTCTGCCTACTAAAAGCCAATTCATTCCAAAGTATGTATTCTTTATAATAGTTGGTGATTTTTCAGTGATTTTCCGGTAACATGCTGTTCTAGTCTTATACACCCCCCCTCCCCTCCCCCCAATGTGTCTATCCTTACAGAGACTTTGTTTTGAAATGTTCTCCTGCGGTAGAAGACAAACTGTGAATACTGTTGGTGATGAATGGGTGTCTCAGCCTTAGGAGTGGTCAACACAAATGTCAACTCTTAGAAATTCCAAATTCTCCCTTCTGCTCCGGGTAGAATCGGCTGCCGCTGATGAACTCCGTGCCACTGCCAACAGTACCGAGAGAGGATAAGCGGGGAGTAAACGCACAGATGAGAATAGTAGTCTCTACAAACAGACAGCCTGTCTACCCAACAAAATACTGCTTACCTCCTCTCTGTGCATTACACTCCGCCGATCTGAGATAATGGGAATTTCTGCATTTACCTCATTGGAAGCGGCTAGATGAGGACCTGTAGCATTCCTGTGGGTCCTGTTAATCCGATCAATATGGAATCATTTCCGCATTTGCTCAGACATCTGGCTGGCTGTCGCTGCAGACTTTGGCCATCATTCTTCTGTCTGATAACGTTCTAGCGGCTGTGGCTCTTCCCGCTTCTGAAGGATAGTTCATATTTATTCCACATAATGCTGATATAAGCTTATTTCTGGGAGGGGGCGGGGATCCAACTTCCATAGCGCTGCTTAGTGGACCTGACCATAAAAGCCGAGGCTTCCTCAGAGAATATTGTACATAGCTGTGCTGCAGTACCAGATATCACCAGCAAGTGGCACTGCAGAGGAAATCCAGCCATTGGAGTGCATGTCAATACAGGAAGAGGTCATAAGTGTTCAGTGTTTCCGCTAGCCCTGAATCTACCAAAGTAGACCTGTGGTCAGGCAATGCACATTCATGTATTACATATTCATAACTAGTAGTAAATGAGCTTTAAAACAAGCCCTCACTTCCTTCTGTAGCTGCAGGCATTGGGTAATCATTCTTGCTCAAAGTTTACAGCAAAAGCACTTTCATTGCAGCTACTCGGCTCTCCCCTACCTGCAGGGACTGGATGCCTGCCAGCTTCCTAATGTAAACAGGAAGAGGGGAGAGAGCAGAGTGCTGAGGCTTCTTCACTCCTTCACAGTGTCCACGGCTACAGAGGTCAGTGAGGCCTTTTTGTAGCATATAAGTATTACAATGCCCATAGGCTGAGCACAGTACGGCCGGCGTGCGTTGCCATTTTTGGCCTGTGGGGGGCAGTATTTTTATTTTGTTCATGTCAGTATGAAGCCATCGATTGGTCTTGGATTCAGCTGTACCCCCGACCATCGGCTTTTAAAAAAAAAAAAACAATTCTGATTTCTAGAATGTTCATTGGCTTTATCCACTCGGCACTTTTTTTGTTTGTTTCCTTAATAACTGTTCTCACTGGCTGCTGCCAGATTTATACTAAAAAAAGTTTTTTGTGTATTTTTATTGTGTGTATATATGTAAATACGGTTTAGATCTAAAAAAAAATAAATTGCCTTTGAAATCTTCAGTGTGTTTATTTCGATCATCATGGAGGCTTCCGTTACCGCCGTCTTGTGATATCGCTGGTTATGTTGACCCCTTTTGCGTCTATTTGAGTGATTTCCTAAAGGTGAATGGGCCGGTGACTCTGCAAGGGAATGTTCCCCTGAAGATGGCCGTACACCTATAGATGATCTGCAGACTTTCTATGGTCAGATGGGAAAAGTGCAAGAGATTC